AAGCATTTCCATCCAATGAACAAACCTCTGTGACAAGCAGAAGACTTTTTTTTCTCCCCCAGGGTGTTCTCTGTTTCTAATAAAATGACTGTACTCACTCTTCCACATTTCCTTCAGAGTCTATGGGACTCTCTGATTCCTGCTGCCTTTTCAAACAAGGCTTAGAAGAAAGTAGCATCTTTAAGATTTTTGTCATTTAGTCTCATTTAAGTGGAATCAACAATTTCAGAACACTCCTCTGGAACACTGACAGCCCAGGCAATGCATGTGTATACAAATAATTTCCTCAGGAAACCAAACACAAGGTGTTTGTAAGAATATTGCTATGAACAGTGCTGTTTTATTTTTGTAACCACCTTTCTCTTCTCAATTCAAGATTTAATCTTGCTTCCAGAACTTTGCACTCTAGGTAAAGACAGATCTTCAGAGGCAGAAAAAGGTGACCAGCAGCCTGAAAAAGTTTTATAGTTATTACACATCTCAGTTCATCTGAGGTCACTGAGAGATGCCAATATAACCTCTGCTAAATGTGATACAGATGGACAAGTCATCCAAAGCATAAGCAAACATTACCCTCAAACACTGCACAGTAGTTGCTGAGCAGCTATAAAAATTAAATGTGAAAATCTGAACAGAGAAATGCTGGAAAGAGCTGCTTTTTCTGTTGCTTAATATCTCCTTGATTATGCCAACATTGGGAAAGAAAGGCAAACACCATGAACTGGTTTAGACACAATGGGCAGTAGAGTCCTTGCTGACCTCTCTCCTAGGACAAACACGAATATGGAGCAGATTTTAACCTGTTTGTCTTGCTTTACACACTCTTAGCTTTTGAATTTCAGGAGAAGCATCTGATTTCCCCGGGTCCAATGCCCTTGTTCAAGTTACAAAAGAGCACTTATCTGCTGACGACTGCATATGGATAGCCCATTGTGATAAAAATTTTCAGCTACTCACAAGCTGCTTCTGCAGCCCCTTTTGCACTAACATTCAGTGTAGTAAAAAATACAAAACAAACCCAAGGGTGTGTAGTGACAGACTGCTCTCTGGTGAAGCTGTACTGTCCCATACATGACTACTGGCAGAATAAAACTTGCTCTCTTCCATGATCTCATTTACTTTGGGTGTTTTAAACTACCTTGCCTGCCTTGATGAAGTAGTTTTCCCCATTAGAGAAACTAGCATAATTCAGAAACTGAGCAGTTATGAGATGCTCAACCAGCTTACCTGTGTGGAGAACTGTTACGGTGATCATGCTGCTGAGGAAATATGAAATGTAGAGTGTATGAAGAAGGCAAATATATTGGCTGGGAGAACACAACAGAAACACCCACATGTCCTCTTCTAGAGGAGTTGGTGCAAAAAATGTTTTTTGATAAAATCTTGTACATTAGACAAAAACCTGGCCATCTGTGCAAGGCCAGTTGCATCCTTCAGGTGCACACTCCACGGACGTCCACACAGGACAAACACATTGAACCAGAGCATACAAAGGACTGTAGGTGCCCAGAAAAGCTCCCCATGGAAATTCCAAATCTATGTTTGAGCAACTGCTGACCAGTAGCTGGAAGTCTAATGTGAATATGTGAAAATGAGAGAATAAGAGAAGACACACTACAACTCTTTCCATATGAAACCTGTGTCCTTGGGCAGGAAAGGTTTGATGGGATAAAGTACAGCAGCCCAGCTCACAGAATAAGGAACACTGAATAAGATGAGAGGAAAGCTGCTTACTGCCTTTAGTTTCTCCCACCCTCATCACTGCTGAAACATCCTCAGATAAAAAGCTCATTCTGAGTTGAGAAACTGAAAGCCACCCCAACTATCAGGCTCTGCGCTTAAACACTGCATTTCAGCAAAACATAACACACTGTTAAGCATAAAGTAGTTCACTTTTCCTTTCACTGAGAGTACACCTATTGCTGTGTGCTCTGTAAATTAATATGTACAAATTCAGGATTTCTATTATCCACCTTTACAGATGGCCTTTACAGATGCCAGATTTGTTTCTTGATGACTACTCATCAAGTCTATTATTAAAAAAAGAGTAATAGCTTTTTACAATTGTATTATATTTGATATTGTTCATTATGATTGTCTAACAGACCATGAATGTTCCTGCAGACAGATTCTGTAGTTCATTCACCTGCCACAGTAAAAAGGCAGGTATGGAAGATCTATGAGAATGGCCTGCACATGTACCCTGGGCCTTGTTGCCATGACCTACGGAGAATGAAAACTGAAAGCTGGCCCTCAATCATCCCTTAAATCCTACTGGATGGTTAAAAACCATTTCTGAGTATCTGAATACTCTGAGGTCTGACTTACAGAGCAGCAAATAGATTATTCCTGACTGTTCCTCAAATCTCTTCTTCTGCTATGCCCACCCTCAGGCCTCTAATTATTCTCAACACCGCTCCTCTGAATGTTTTAATCAAAACGAATTTCTAGCAAAATGTGCTTTCTCCTCAGAGCCCTTCTGCCCTCCTCCACCTTTATGCTGTAGACCCTATAAATTGACCTCAGGTAAAAAAATTTGGTCTCACCAAGGTGCAGAAATAGATATAGGTGTGCTTTTAACAAGTACAAGCTATGAACCACACCAGTTTTTGGACTCCAGGAACATAATTCTTCATTTTGGGAGACCAAAACATCTTTCAGTACTATTTTGGTCTTGAAAAATAAACAGAAAATTTGGGTTTCTTCTTACATGGAAAAAATGCATTTCAAAACCCTCTGATTTGAATGATCATCCTGCAGCTGGCTCTGCTTGGAATTGCATGATTTTGGCAACATCAGATGGTCACTGCCCATGAAGTCCTTCATTCTGTTCCTCTGCACAGACGCTGTGAGTTGTTACATATATATATCAGACCTTCAGGAGTTAGCCCAGAATCCACTTTTGCCTTCACACTTGGAGTACTGTATTACAGCACTTTCTGTACTTATAGTGTCCTGTAGGTGAGAAGAAGAGAAACATCTGGGTTTTCAGGGACTGACGTACTTTTTAGAACTCTTTCCTCAGCTCTATCCGTGGGTGCTCACTAGCGATGGACTGTCGTGGGAACTGTTTGCTCACTCTCAGATCATTGCACTATGAGTAGGTCTTATTTTCCTGTGATATTTTTGGATCCTCACCTTCACTTGCCTGTGAGAGTCACCTGATCTGAAGTTACAGCTAAATGTATTAAAAATGTACTATGTTTTGATGGTTAAATTTGTAAAACTGATTTTCCTCTTTTTTTTTTCATTTATTTCTTTCATTTAGCTCTAGTTACCTATATGGCCCAATCACAATAATGTCTATATTCAAAAGGACTGCATGAGACGTAGTTTTAGACTTGAACTTCAATTACTTTGGTACAGCCTTATAAGATACAACAAAAGCTTAAGTAATCCAATTTTTAATTAGGTTTTACTTCAATAAATAAAGTTTGACTTGCTGTAGTTACAGTACCAGCCTAACATTGGTCTACTCAATGTTTCGAAGTGCAATGAATCAAAAGGTCATGACAGAAGGTAGTGACTCAAAAGATGACTCCTTGAAGGCTAAGAGTGGGAGTGTCTCAAATGGTACAATATATATCACTAAGGGCTCAGAGAATCTGTTTAGGGTCAGCTGGTAAGCTGGACTATTACATGCCTCTTTGAAGTCTGTGGGGTAAGTGTTTTTCCATGTAAAATATAATTTCTAATGTTTATTCTTTAATAAGGAAAGAAAGTGACATTATGTGTAAGAACTTTAAGGTAAGTATAAAATATATGCCAAAAGACAGCATATACAGTAATTTTACCTTTCTTTATCAATATATCTTATACTGTTTGTCTGTCAAATTATTTTAAGTGTTCAAAATCTGAGTACACCACAGCATTGAGTAGAAGTACTTCTTCTTCATTGAAAATCTGATGTAACATTAAAACTGTTCTTTTATAACTTTAGTAACTATTTTGGGAATAAAGACATTTCTATTTTCTCAGTCACTCTCCGGAGATCACAGGTGAGGTACAGTATGAGGACTCACAGAGTCTGTGGTTCCACAGTCATTAGTGCCAGATGCCTCTCAGGTCCTATAACCCACATCTACTCCAAACTATGGATATGCTGCTATTTCTCTGACTTTAACTGTCTTAAAGATACAAGAAGAGTATGCAGTTTTCTTGGTCTCAGATTCAAAAGAGGGAACGGCTACAGGTTTCAATGAATATCCTTAACATATCACTTTCATTTGCATGCACAGGACTTGCACCTGACTGAATGAATGCAGCTCTATGCTGTTTCAAGCTGTACTGCCAAAACCTGTATTTATGACATACAAGCTTGTGTTTTTTCTCAACAAAAAATGTATCAACCAAGATTAAATGCCTGAAATGGGTCTACAGGAAAAAAAATACAACAAACCCAAACCCCTATAAATCTATAGTTCAGCATCTAAACAAGTGGCTGACTTTACAGAGCAACTTACTCCTGTTATTCCTATAAACTACAGGAAAGAAACTTCTCAAACTGTATGGTTGTTAAGCAACAGTAAGAAATACACTAAGAGTATAGAGAGTTGACTACATTTGATTAAAAGATCTGGAGCACGGTCCAGAGCAGACACAAAAGTAATGAAATATGAACTTCTATTGACTCAAACATCACTCAGAGTCCTCTGGATGGTCACAGGGTAATTCATCCATTCAGTGTTATTTTTATCATATTGAAGCATGGATGAAACTATGTATTTCCTAAAAAGCAAGTACAAGATACTATCTTGATGATGACAGAGTATTTTGCTGAAAGAAAACAAACACACATTCTGAGATAAATGAGTCAGGAGTTTCAATATTTCAAATGATCACATAATTTGTAGGCTTCACATCATTCAATGGTTCTTCATCACAATACCAGCAATGAACTAGCAGTTTCTGGGCTACTGGCAGTACTTTTTAAAACAAGTGCTACATATCACCACTATACAGTCATATTTCTGTTTCCTTCAGTAAACACTGATTTCACAATGGGCTCCATCAGTGCAGCAAATGCCGAATTTTGTTTTGATGTATTCAAAGAGCTCAAAGTCCACCATGCAAACGACAACATCTTCTATTCGCCCATGAGCATCATTGTAGCATTGGCCATGGTTTATCTAGGAGCAAGAGGTAACACAGAGTATCAGATGGAAAAGGTAAGTGACATAAATGGATACAAACTCCTTTTGATTTTGTTCCACACAGCAACAGCTTCTACATTTACATCCTTGGGACTTTCTCCAGTTGAGGGGAGAAGGTCACATAGTCATATTTGGCATTGGATTCAAACTTGCCTAGAAAAAGAGTGGCATTCCAAACTGTGAGGTTTAGAGCTGGAGCTGAGTTTTTCACTTACCATTGCTTTTTCCCGTGAAGGGTAACAACAGCCTTTCACTTCCATTAAGAGAGAGCAGTCCTGAAGCATGGGTAAGGCAAGTCTCTAGCTTCAGCTTATATTATCTCTCAGACCTGATTCCTTTCTAGTGGAAAGGACAACTTGTGATATACAAAAGATGAAACATTCAGAAAACAAGAGTCACAGTTGTAAATACAGTACAGTACGGTTGCAGCTGGTTTATAGACTGAATACTATTAACTGGAGAAGAAGTGATCTAAGCTGAGGATTGTAGTCACAAACTTCCAGTACAGCACATGTAGTAAAAAAAAAAAAAAAGAAAAGATTTGAAGCTTCTCAGCTCACCTATGTGCTAATCAGGCCTTGTTAACATAAATCTATAGTCTCAACACAAACGTCCGTGACTTTCAGTGGACCTCACATGCTTAATTTATTCTATTGCTACTTTCAATTGCAGGTTCTTCACTTTGACAAAATTGCAGGACTTGGAGGAACTATTCAGACTAAGGTACAGAACTCTAAGGTACATTTGTTTCTCTTTCACATTTTTCTTCTAAGAATAGATTGTTCTGACTGTGCTTCAAGTAGGTTCAGCATCTTCCTCTACCTTTGCTAATGCTCTTAATTTAAGAGGTGTATGTTTAAAAAAACCACAAACAAACAAACAAAACCCTCCAATAACAAACAAAAAGCCCAACAACAGAAAAAGAAGACAGGCTGCACATGATGCACCAGAACAAGTGACAGGACAGAATAGTATGTTTCGGGCACTAGGCCACCTTCTTGTGTAGACAAGCATCTGCACACCTGGTGGTGCTGTGTGGGGACAGCACTTGAAAGAGGAGCCAGGGTACAGCAGTCAGACTTGCAGCTAAGGCTCCATAGTGGGACAGGAGGATGCTTCCATAGAAAAGAGCCCAGAAGCCTCAAAGGCTGGAAAGAAACCACACCCTTCCAAAATCTACAGGGACTTTTCCAGCCTCCAATTCCCACTGCTACCCCAAGAGCACCATGAGGTGCTCACTGAGATTTTCTGCTTGTTATCATATAGAATGAGTGTCATGACATGCTATGGATTAGTTGTACATCATTAGTTGCTTATATTAAACATCCTTCCCATGGAGCTTTTAGACTGTAGTGCATGTTCATTTGCAAATGTACAAACACTCTGCACTTTCCCATGTTATTTGTACCTTACAGATAATTCTGTATTTAGTAAAATAAGCTAACAGCTATACCTTTTTATCTTTTTACCAAAAACCCAGTGTGGCAAGTCGGTGAATATCCATGTGCTATTTAAAGAACTTCTCTCTGACATCACTGCACCAAAAGCCAATCATTCACTTCACATTGCCAACAGACTCTATGCTGAAAAGACATCTCCAATCCTACCGGTGAGTAGTACATTAGAGCGATTTCTTGCCAAACCCTCTACAAACCTGTAATCCAGGGGGCCTGGCCAGAGTAGGTGACCTGTTAATCCAGTGGGCTGCACTGGTGTGGACTTCCACAACCTGAACGGAAAGCAACTCCAGGGAAAAATATGGCCCTATTAATAAATAAATGGAGGAATAAACAGAACTATTTGGTAATGGAATTCGCTCCCCTCCTCACACTTTCTTCTCCAAAACCTTCTCATTTAAATAGGGTGTTGGGGTTTTTTCAGGAAATAATTTGACTTCAGCACATTTCTTCATGTGAAAGCCCCACCTCAAAAATAACTTTTGAAAGTGTCAAAATCTTTTGTTTGACAATTTCAAAACAAAACATGAATCAAAGAAACTTCTTATTCTTAAAAATAATGAAAAATCCTTTAACAAAAAGAGAGTGGACATGATAATAAAACACACTCAAATGAACCTGAAACAATGTTTTTGGAACAGAATTTCTTCAAGAAAATATTTAAACATTTCTAATGTATACCCTTAACTAGTCAAGTAATAAAAAATCTCAGATCTGAAAATGTAATGGGTCAGAATCGTTTCTCTGGCTCAGTTTTAGCAGGTTCTTCCAGGAAGTAACCAATGAGAACAGCCTAACCATGGCATCACTATAAAAATCCTGCTAGACATGTTTTATTTCACATCCATACTGTTTTTTAAAAATTACTAGTTTGGTGGATACAATTGCTGTCTTTATAGATCTACTTAAAATGTGTGAAGAAACTGTACAGAGCAGGTCTGGAAATGGTCAACTTCAAAACAGCATCAAATCAAGCCAGACAGCTCATTAATTCTTGGGTGAAAAATCAGACAAAAGGTAAGGTCAGACAAATTTTTGAAATATAATTCCCACTTGCAACTGTATTTGAACAACTTCTGGAAAGACGAAACCTTAGAGGAGGAATTTCCTCCACCCATTCCCATTAGTGGATCTTTTCTGGAAGTGGATTAGTGGAAAGGGATGACTCCATTGCACCTGTGTGGCAATGACAGTGTGTTTTAAACATATCTGACAAAGGCAGAGGTGCCGGGATTTGCACATTTTATATGCACACTTTTTGTGTCTGGAGAGCTCAACTCATGCAAGGTTAGTCCCAGCTTCTCTAGAATATTGGCATAATTTTACAAGCATATCCTGAATGGGTAAGAAGTGGGCTTCCACGGCAGAAAGTAATGCATGCACTAGGCTGATGGTGGGAAAGGGCTGATTCAGAAGCTTGTGTCCATTTATCAGGCTGAGGTGGGAGGAAAAACAAGAGTGAAGTGTGAGAAAGAAGCACAGTGAGAAAATCTGTATCACTGCTTCCCTCTCGTGTTCCTCCTTTTCTGTATAAATCTGTTTTTTTCAAGCACTGGTTAGAAATATTCCCAGGGATGTATAACACTCTTGAACCTAGCTGTCTCCTTGCAGAAATGTCTGGTCAGATGTCAGTTGTTCTGTATTAAATCATCCCCATGAACCTGAATTCGACATACAGACCTTTGAAGAGGAGGAAATCAAGTCAAGCAGCAGCATGTCGTTTGACCTCTAAAATGCAAGACTACTGCTGTGAAACTTAGCGCTCTCTGCCCTGATTCTTCCTTACAGGACAGATCCAAGATTTCCTTGAACCAGGCTCTGTTCATCCTGATACTATGCTGGTCCTTGTGAATGCTGTTTACTTCAAAGGGATATGGAAGGCAGCATTTAAAGAAGAACGCACTCAGGAATTTCCCTTCAGCGTGACAAAGGTAAAAGGGCACAGACACAGGTTCTGGGCAGACTGTTGGCTTGTACAGCCAGCAGGCTGAGTGTTACACACACAACATGCTGTGGTCGTTGGCTGGGTGGTTTAGCTTGGCTCCTGGCTGTCAGGTTTGCAAGAGCTGTGTTTGACCAGACCACACCAGCAGACACAAGAGGAAAACAGAGACACAGCTCTTCTTCAAAGGCAACATGCTTGAAGTCCAAACCCTGTCCCTTTCAAAGGTCATGTACATTTGTCTTCCTAAACAAAAAATTGCCCCCCAGTTACATTGTCTCACGCTTCTGTTTTTCAGCAAGAAAGCAGACCTGTGCAAATGATGTGTCAGAACAGTACCTTCAAAGTGGCAACCGTGGCTGCAGAGAAAATGAAGATCCTGGAACTTCCGTACACCAGTGGGGAGCTGAGCATGTTGGTGCTGTTGCCTGATGAAGTCTCTGACCTGGAGCAGGTATGACCCTGGCAGGTGAAGCAGAAGAGTCATCACTTCAGTGGGACTTGGTTACTGTCAGGCCTTCTGTTGTCCATCTGCATCCCAGCTGCCCACACCAAGAAAGGGAAAAAGTGGTGCAGCTTGCATTACATAATCCATTATTCTGATTTCAGCAGTTTTAAAAAATTATGTTATAGAATTATGAAAGATGTAGTAGAAGTTGGATGTGTTAAGTACTATCAACTGTAGGTAAATTTTCATGGTCTTCGTTTGCAATCTGTTTCATAAGCTAATTTGACTAAATTGTTAGGCTGTGAAACTGCTGGGTTGTGCCTCATGAGACACAAGATTAGTTGGACAGAAGAGGATGTGTTAGATGGGTAAGGAACTGAAAAAAAGGACAGTGACACAGGCAGTATTAGAGAGACAAATAATAAACTACAAGAAAGATGTTGATAGGATGCACTTCAGGAACCATCTGGTTTGGGTTTTGTTTTATTTTTTTATGATAGCCTTGGTTAAAATGAACGGTTGGAAGAAGTATCCCCATCCCAGTCATTTCATTCCCTGTCTTTCTTTGCAGCTCGAGAACAAAATCAGCTTTGAAAAACTTACAGAGTGGACCAGTCCTAATGTGATGGAAAAGAAGAGAGTGAAAGTGTGCCTCCCACGCATGAAGATTCAGGAAAAATATAACCTCACATCTGTCTTCGTGGCCTTGGGTATGACCGACCTGTTCAGCCCTTCAGCCAATCTGTCTGGCATCTCTTCAGCAAAGAGCCTGAAGATATCTGAGATCATCCATGCGGCTTACATGGAAGTCAATGAACAGGGCACAGAAATGGCAGGCTCAGCAGGGGTGATGGGAGATGTCAAAAATTTCCCTGAGTTTGAAGAGTTTAGGGCTGACCACCCTTTCCTTTTCTTGATCAAACACAATCCAACCAACATCATCCTCTTCTTTGGTAGATACTGTTCCCCCTAAAGAATGAAAGAGCTGGAAATAATGCTTGCCTTCCCCTCAGAAACAGACCGCCTATACCATAACATTGTAGCGTAATCACTTTTCTTCCAAGTGGAAGAGCCTATAATCTAAGAAATGCCCATTTAGGAACCTTCCATAGCAAAGACATACCTGCAGATGAGGAAACAGCAGCAAACATATTTATTCCTTTCCCTTCTCTACACTGGTTTCCTGATTGCTTGAGCTGAGCAAAGATTGAGCCAACAGAGAACAGAGGCACCCACCAGCCAGGAAGGGGCCAAACGATTTTCACTTGAGGAACAAATTACAAGCATGAGTCCATGTTTTTCAGATTTCATCACATAGAAAGCCATGGGCTGTGCTCATCCCATTCCCCAGTAGCAATCTGCGGACAAATCCACGTTGTTTCTGAAAAAGTTCAAGTACATTATTCTTCCATGAATGCAACTGGGCTTCTTTGTTCCTGTGATAGTTCAACGCTACATCTCTTGTTTTTAAGAAATATAAGAGAATCCTAATAGCTTCTGTCTTTTTCTTCCTGTATGTCCATTGCTATCTGCAAATATAGATATAGTGGCTCAATACTATGTCCTGTTTTCACTCTAATCATACATTATTAATTTGGATGCATACAATTGATTGGTTTTGGTTAAGATAATAAAACAAAATCACAAATGCTTGTCATGGGAATTATATTAATTTTCAGGACCACAAACCCTTAAAAATATCATTACATTGGTAACTGTCGGGAGTAAAAAGGGATTTAGTACAAAATCCTATTTTACAATGAATAAAGCATGTAAAAATGAAGTTTCCTAGGCACTTATGAAATTCACAAATGCACATATGTGAAGTTTGATTCCTTTCTGTATTAGAGATTACCAAGAAATACCCCAATGGAATACTTATTTATTCTTATGTAATTTTCAATACAGTTCCAATGGGTATTAATGATGCACTGACAATTATTCTGCTAAATGTTTCAAGGAACAATTATTCCAGCAGTTCTGCCATTTTAAATGGTGAAATAAGCTGAAAATCATATAACTAAAAAGGCATAAGAAAAAATCACAGAATCACAGAATCACAGAAC